TCTCTCTCTCTCTCTCTCTCTCTCTCTCTCTCTCTCTCTCTCTCTCTCTCTCAAACACACACTGATGTGCACCTTCATTAAAGTTAATAAAACTAGTGCATTTTTTTTCTTTTGTTCCAGAAACTGCGGCTTCGCTCACTGCTGGTCAGCTGAAGACACCATGCCTATCCAATGTGACATTTGCCTAAAAAAAGTTGCAACGCGGGCTCACCTTGCCAGCCACATGAGTGTACACAATCTTTTCGACTGTAGTGTGTGCAGCAAGATATTTCCCACCGGTGCTCGTCTAACCAAACATCTGCGAACGCACACTGGAGAGAAGCCTTTTGAGTGTACTGTGTGCAGCAAGAAATTTTCGGTGGGTGACAGTTTGCGCAGTCATATCCGAACGCACACTGGCGAAAAACCCTTTGAGTGTACTGTGTGTAATAAGAAATTTTCGCTGAGTGGCAGTCTGCGCGCACATCTTCGGACGCACACTGGAGAGAAGCCCTTTGAGTGTACTGTGTGCAACAAGAAATTTTCGGAAAATAGCAATCTACTCAAACATCTAAGAACGCACACTGGTAAGAAGCCTTTTGAGTGTACTGTGTGCAACAATAAGTTTTCGATGAAAGGCAATCTCCGAAAACACCTCCAAACGCACACTGGAGAGACGCCTTTTGAGTGTACTGTGTGCAACAAGAAGTTTTCGGTGAAAGGCAATCTCCAGAGACATCTCCAAACGCACACTGGAGAGGCGCCTTTTGAGTGTACTGTATGCAACAAGAAATACGCGAGAAGTGATTATTTGCATGTTCATCTCCGAACGCACACTGGAGAGAAGCCTTTTGAGTGTACTGTGTGCAACAAGAAATTTTCTGTAAGAGGCAGTCTGCGCACACATCTTCGAACGCACACCGGAGAGAAGAGTGTACGGTGTGCAACCAATTATGTCAAGTAGACAATCTGTGCCAACATTTCCGTACACACACAGGAGAGATGGTTTATGAGTGCACACAACTGTGTGCAGCAAGAAATTTTCTGAGAAGAACATATTGCTGACACATTTTTAAACCCACAATACTGGGAAGAAGCCCGTTGACCAGACATTTTCGGCGCTCAAGAAGGGAGTCCTAGTGTACTAAACAACCAGACCAACTTTATTTCATGCCTTACGCCTCAAATTCTACAAACATTGCTAAAGGTGCATTACTTTGTGAATGCTGCTTGCCAACATTATAATTTTACCTTTCATTTTCAAGTATTTTTAAAAAATCGAATTTAAATTAAATAAACTCCTGTATTTGGCCTAAACATGCTGACTAGTCTAATTCTGTTTCCCGTTGTTCCGGGCTGAGCTGTTCTACTGTCTCCACCGCGCCTGTTCGTCGTATCGTCTTCAGACGGATTTGCTGCCAATTAATGGGCGAGTTCTTGACTTCAACATCAGCGAGGCCTCGCCCGTGTTTCCCGAAGGCGCAGCATTACAGAGAAAATAAACCTTACGCGGCACGCATAAAACGAAAATCAACTTGCCACCGCTGTCACTGTGAAAAATACCGTCGTGTCGTAAATTCACAAAAAGAAACTGTAAACTTGAATTATAATTTAAGTTGTCAATTTACGAGTGCACATATTTTTTACTCGTCAATGGATTTGAAGATGACACTGAAAATGCCAGAGTCAGATATCTTACTCTCAGCTCAGTCCTCACTGCAGTTGGGCGAGGCCAGGGAAATCTTACTCATCCAGTGTAAGAATTCAGTGCATATGACTCAAATAGGGTGAGCCTTATAGTCATCGCTCTGATTGAGCGAGGCAAAATTGTCTCACTCATTTCGAGCACGACACCTCACTCAAAGGTTTTCAGTGGATACATACTGCATGTATTTTACGATTACAAATTGTAATTTTACAATTTGTGTCAAAGGAAAAATTTTCCTGTAAACCTACCTACTTTTTTCCACAGTGTTTGATGTAGGCGGGGCGGGGGAGGGGAAAGGGCTCCGCCCGCCGAAGAGTAGGCCAGATCTCCAGTGCGCGACTGCTGCCTACCTCCCAGGCGGTAAGCCACGCCGCTCCATAGCCCCTGAGCACCAAAGGAACGCCAACTTTTTATTTGGAAACATCCAAGCGTTTCACTGCATTGGCCGAGTAAAGCTTTCGGCTCTTCTTTCTCTCTCTCTCTCTCTCTCTCAGCCATGATGCCGGCGCCGACGCGCACTAGAGCAGCCAGTCCCTTGCGGAGCTATGGGTTCGCCCGCGATGAATGAGTGAGAAACCCGCTTCATAAATAAATGAGCGGGCACTGCTTCGACCCGCGCTGCACCGAGTCTATGCTGGCCTTTAGTAAGTCTGCCCACTGCACTGGCGGCAGGTTCAAATCACTGTCGCTTTTCCCGCGCTGCTCTGGTGTACGATTGGCGGCCTACCCTCCGGGCGCTCTGGAGTGCGAGGTGCCGGCGGAAGTTCGCCTGCTCCCCGGTCCCTCGCTCAGCTGCCGGCCGCGCGCGCTCCGCCACCACCACCACTCGGCCGCCTGCTCGACGGTCCATTGAACGCGTTGAACGGGTGGTATCGGGATCGCCACGGGGGTCACACAAAGGAGCGAAATCGCCTCGCGATCAGAGCAGCGGGAACGACGCCGGCGTTTGGGGCCAAAAACGGGGAGGGGAAACGGTCGTTGTTGGCGTGTCCGTCTGCGATTCCCAACACGACGGCGTTAAATTTCCCACCGCGTGATCTCAGCAAAAGTGTGTCTCACTCTTGTCGAACGCGAAAACACCATCACGACGACGGCGAGTAGTTTTGCCTCCCGAGCAGGGCAGCATCATGCACACAGCACAGCAGGTCCTGGTTTAGTTTACCGCTTCGTATTTATACCGTCTCGTTAATTAGCTGACTAATGAGAGATGGAGATGCAGCACAAAAAAAGAACAACGACGACGCGGCGAAAGCAACAGGAGTATCGCTGATACGAGCTGTATGGCGCCTGAGAGTCTCTCTCTCTCTCTCTCTCTCTCTCTCGCTCGCTCGCCCTCAGTCTGCCCTGGCCGTTGTTGCCCGTTGCTTGACAGATAGCCGCGGAGAGGCACGTTTATGAGGGAGTGCTGGTCGGAGGCGGCGCTGCTCCGCGCTGGACCAGGGAGGAGGGCGCGGTGCTCGCGCTGCAGCCCCGCGCTGCAGCCCCGCGCTGCAGCCGCCCCAGTTCCGCATGCAAATGGGGGGGCTTAATCAGGGAGCTTATCTCAGGGGCGCCGTGCCGTGGAGTGGGGGCACCCGCGCGGTCACTTCTCGATGCTCGCTGGCTGTATGGCCCTTTGCTGGTTTTGCCGTGCTCCTTAACTGATGTCCTCAAAGATTTCCATTTCTTTTTATCTCGTGCTCGTGTGCACGCCTATTTCCACCGTCAATGCAAGTTGGACAATTCATCGCGCGCGCTATCATTTTTTTTTTCTGCTCGCGATAAGGGGAAGAGAACGTCGGTGGAAGGGAAGGGGGAGGGGGCGCTCGTGACGGTCCACGGGGCTCGGAGGGCGGAGGTGTCACTGCCTTGTAGAGCAGGCGGGCCGGGCTCGGTCCCCCGTGATGCCCGCGCTCCGAGGGGTGCCCAACTCGAAAAAATCGTGTACACCTGATT